CCTTGATTCTTAAATTTAAGAGCAACTTAAGTAGTAAATAAAGGAGAAAGATGTAAAACTGAGCTTCAAGAGAATCAAGAAAATACTACTCATAAAATGGTTAAACACCAGTTTAAAAAAAAATTTTTTTTATATCATGGTAATACACATAAAATTTACTACTAGTCATTTTAAGTGTACAGTTCTGTGGCATTAAGCATATCCACAATGCTTAAAATCCACCATTCTAAATTTCAGTTTTAAAAACAAACAGCCAATACAGGAAAAGTGGCAACACATGTAGATTGAGTACTGTACCTTAGGATTAGGTCTTAGAAGTCCTTCTCAGTATTTAAAAGAAGAATTTTTAAAAATTATATATATATAAATAAAAACAAGCCCTTCTATCTGGTTTGCTGTCCTTCTCCAAGATACACGTTTAGAGATCTAAAAGCCACACAGACCCAGTGTAGCTAATCTTACTATTTGAAAACTTGCTGGTGACTTCCATATTAAGCTGTCCTGGGCAAAAGTCCACTCCTTCATTTGCTCCTTGAGGAATTTAAAATCTGTTTTTCTTTTTTTTTTTTTTGAGACAGAGTTTCAGTCTTGTCACCCAGGCTAGAGTGCAACAGAGCAATCTCAGCTCACTGCAACCTCTGCCTCCCAGATTCAAGCGATTCTCCTGCCTCAGCCTCCTGAGTAGCTGGGACTACAGGTGCCCGCCACCACGCTTGGCTAATTTTTTTTTCCTTTGGATTTTTACTAGAGACGAGGTTTCACCATGTTGGTCAGGCTGGTCTTGAACTCCTGACCTCAGGTGATCCACCCGCCTCGTCCTCCCAAAGTGCTGGGATTAAAGGAGTGAGCCACCACACCTGGCCCTGTTTGTCTTCTTTACTAGATTCCTCTGGGAGTATGAACTGTGTCCAATTTATCTTCATACAGCTCACCATTGGACTCTCACATCTTCCAGAATATATACAAATATGACTTTCTACATTTTCTTGGTCCATAAATGTTTCTTAAATATTTGTGGGACCTCATTTCCTAAGATCATTTATTTGCTATGCCATAGTTTTGGGCAGGTTATGTTCTTTCCTTGTATGTGGTCCTCTTAAATTAGTTCATCTGAAATCATTAATTACTGTACTGTTTCTACCCAGAATTACTGGTAGATTATTTTATATAGTAGTTACTAAATCGGTATGAAATACTATGTTCACTTTGACCTTTTATAAAGTACTAGCATAAATTTTTATCTCTTTTTTGTGTGTATGTCAGTGTGTGTCAGTCTTATCTGCAAAAGCATTTCAGCTTATTGGAGAGGATTTTAGATTGAGTACATGTATTTATTTTTTACGGACTCCTCCTCATCACCTCCGTGATCCCTCTCTCCAGTTGTCTGCAACACATCCTACTGTGAAGTTTTTCTAAAACTTCCCAGGAAGAATTCTTTTATCTGCAATCTGTATACCACCATAATTCCCTCACTATTTATAACATCAGTTTATTAGTGGTTTTAATCTGTCTTACTCTCACAGGCTCTTGGCTGCTTAAGGGTAGGGACCTGTCATTTGCATATATCTAGCACTTAAGGTACTGGCACATAGTAGATATTAAAAAGGGCTTTTTCCTCACCTATCCTATTTTACAGAATTCCATTTGTAACTATACGACCTCTCATTGTTCCTTGGAATGGACAGTCTAAGGCCCATATCTGGTATGACTTCCTCAGACATGAGGAGGAAGAAGTACTCATTTCAGAGAATAAAGGAGAGCTTGCAAATCTTGCCACTTGTTTGTAATTTAGATTTAAGTATTCATTTGAAGCACTTAACATCCTAACCACTGAAACACATGATTAGGAACTCAAATTTGAGAAATGCAACAGAAGACTAGGTAAGATGAGTCAGAAGGATGCATCATTTCTGTGATTAGTGTTCCAACGCTATTCTTTGCCATGTTTACGCAAAGAATATGAAAGAGATTCAAGTTTTTTTCAGAGGACAACACAAACTTTATATTATTCCTATTCCTTACTGCCTAGGAACCTCAAGCAACTTCCACTAATAGGTTTCTCCTGCTCCACACTTCTAGTAGTTTTTCTTTCACTTCTGAAATAAAGCAGTATTGCTTGTAACTTTGTTACTGAGAAAACCAACAATGCAAATGAAAGCACAGAGCCATTTCTATGTGCAAGTTAGTTAACAAAATTCAGTCACAAGCGTTGTGTTCTATGGCAATCACTTAACTTCTCTGAAACTGAATTTATTGATCTGTAAAACAAGAAGATAGGGTTTTAAAAGGTATGTATTTTTATGAATCCATAATTAGAAATTCTCATGTGCTGTGTCAAAATCTCCATGGATTAAACTCTTTAATAATGATTCTAAATGTAATACACACCCATTAAAGAACATCTGTAAAATTATGTATAAAGAAAAAAACCCTCACAATTCTATTACTCTGAGCCTTATTGTAAGGATCCTAAAGCAGTTAAAAATATCACTGACAGGTTTTTAAGATGTCAGAATGTCACTGGTCTGGATCTTATTTTTATTTCCAACAGCAGGGTCATTAATTTTTTCCCTCTCTCTTCTGCTGTATTTTTCTGCATACTATAAACAATTCAATAACTGCCCAGAGAATGCATTAGGTACAGTTTTCCATACACAACCCTCTTTTCCAGATCTATTTTATGGAATCTCCTGTATGATCTAAAACACTATCCACGGTTCTTCATTGCTTAAGCTCTAATGGACAAAGTTTGAACACTGTAATTTCACATTTAAAAACACTAATTTGGCAAAATCTCATCCCAGCCTTCCTTTCCAGATCCACTGTTCTCCATTCCAAATTGCTCTATAGGTAAATTGGCTGCCTGAAGGCTGTTCACTCTAATATGTGAGTCAGCTAGAGGGATGGCCCACCCAGACTGGGCCTTGGACACTTCTAGTCCTCATCGCCTACTGGTCACTTCATCTAGGCTGGCCAAGTGCCTATTATCCAGAGAGAATCTGGGCAAGAATGAAGATTTAAAATTCTAATGGTAGTGGTTCCAATTCCTGGTAATATGGAATAAGCACACTCCACTGTCTCTCCCAGTGAATGAAGCAATAAAACATAATACATAGATCAGCAATTTGAGGACTGGAAATGAAACAGCAGTAGAAAAATTAGGAAGAAGACCAGAATTCCTCATTTAACATTTACCTTGCTGATAATATTGTTATAAAAAATACATTTACAGTATTTCAATAAGATGGGAAAATTGAATACAAACATAATCCCTTGAAACTGTAAAATACTTTCTAAAAAAAAAAAAAAATCGAAGATGGGTCAGGATAACTTAGTAAAGTGTTTTAAAGTGGATCAGGTAGACAAACAATCCTCTGCAGTATTTCAAATTAGCAGAGCACACAGGTTTAGACTGAGATCTTGGTTCAAATCCTGGCTCTACTTCTTATTAGCTGTGTGAGCTTGGATAAGTTAGGTCAGCTCTGTGAACTTCTTCCCTCATTGCAAAATGGAGAAATAATAGCACCAACCTCACAGGATACTGAGTGGACTAATTAGGTAATGAATGCAAACCATTAAGCATACTGCAGACACCTATAAAATGTTCAGTAAAGTTAGCTATTAGTAGCAATAGTTTCCTCCAAATTTCAAAGGACTTATTCTATGTCCTATTTACTCAACTACAAATCTTTATTGGACATACCGCTACAAAAAGAAATCGGACTGTTCCTTTACTTCCAAGAATGAACGACCTACAGTTTAAAATGCAATATACCAATAAAAAGAAAATTTTAGTTAAATGCGCCCTCTAGTGGTACGTTTTGTGCAAGTACCTGGCATCTACAAAAGATAAAACCTCTTCATGAAATGTCACTATTCTGAAGCCAGCTGGTTGAGATCATTACAGTATGGGAAGCACTACCACATATCTTTTAGGAAGTTCCCTCTCTTCAAGAGCTGGAAGGTGCTGTTGTTTATTGTCTTTGAAAATTTTCTCCACCATATGACCTAGGATATTTGTGATATGTACCATACCAAATCTCAACATTCCTACAGCACTGACTTTAAAATCCCTTCTCTAAAAGAAAACTGGGCTACTTTCTAGCTTGCTTTAAACAAACATCGCAAAGTACTTATTCTTCATTTACTTAATAAATACGAGGGCCAGGCGCAGTGGCTCACGCTTGTAATCCCAGTACTTCGGGAGGCCAAGGCGGGCGGATCACCTGCGATCAGGAGTTTGAGACCAACCTGGCTAGCACGGCGATATCCCGTCTCTACTAAAAATGCAAAAACTAGCCGGGCGTGGTGGCGGGCACCTGTAATCTCAGCTGCTTGGGAGGCTGAGGCAGAAGAATCGCTTGAATCCGGGAGGCAGAGGTTGCAGTGAGCTGAGATCGCACCATTGCACTCTAGCCTGGGCGACAAGAGCCAAACTCCTTCGCAAAAAACAAAACAAAAAACCAAATACGAAGCGAGCACCAACGATGTACCAGGCAATGAGGATACAATAAACTTACACAATTATTATGTAATTACAAATGTGAAAAGTGTCATAAGAAAGCATAGAGTGCCATGAGCACACAGTAGGGGATTGGTCCTGTATGGGGGTAGTAGGGGGTTGGAAGGCTTTCTTGAGAATAAAATATTTAAAGCCTTGAAGGGTGAGTAGAAAGTAACTGGAAGAAGAAAAGGAGTACCATACAAAGAGAACAGCAAATGTAAAGGCCTGGAGACGGCAAGGTACACACGGCATTTGAGAAATTGAAGAAAGATCCTATGCACGGTGACAAAGGAGAGATTGTGCAAGGTGAGGCTAGGGAAGTAGGCAGGGACTTCACACGGAGTTTGAATTTCATCCTAAAAACAATGGGAAGCGATGGCAGAGTTTAAAGCAGTACAGCAGTAATACGACTTACATTTTCAAAAGTTCCGTTCCTACGGCACGGAAAATGGATTTGAGGGAGCTGGGGCAGAATGAATCCCCAGAGCAGCTGCAGAACCACAGGTACAACATGGGACGAGGCAGGAGGTGCCAATAAAGATAAAATAAGTGGACAAATATTCAAAAGGCTAAATGAATTGAGCAAACTGTTGAGAGTAGTGGTCCTGGTAAATCGCATTTTTTCACTAGGCACAGCTGGTGGTGGTATGCATTTGGAAACACGCTAAAGAAAATGAGCCGTTTAGGATTCTAGGGTTTTCCTCTTAAAAAGAGAATTTGTTTGGCTACCAAGTGTTAACATTTTAATGCTCAACGAGCACCGAAGAGGGGACATGAGCCACTGCCTCTCACCCAAGACAGCCCCAAAATGTCCTTTTCAGACTTTTATCACAGTGACCCACTCCCACCGCGCCTTTACCTTGCCTCTGCCTGGAATGTCCTTAACTCCCTCCTTGCCGCCAATTTCACCAGATTTTTGTTTTCTTATCCAGTCTCACGGAAGCCTCTCCAGCATCTCCCACCCTACCGATCCTCCCGTCTATCTCGCCTACTACACTGTGAGTTCAGACAGCACGGATTGAACGCTTCATCTTTTTGTGTCGGCGCCCTGCGCATCGCCGTCCTATCACTAACCGCGCCGCAAACTCAGCTCAATCTTAACGCCCACGAGCCGCTCCTAAAGACCGCCTGTGATGCCGGAAGTGACGCGCTCTCGGGCACTATGTGCTTCCGGTCTCCAATGTCGCAGGAGGGCGGTCTCTCCTGGCTCGCTAACTCGACTGCTCTGGGGGATTCGTGCGAGGTAAGAAGCTGCGCCGCAGCGCAGTGAGGTGAGGTTCTCAGCCATGAAAACTGCAGGGTGTTGTTCGTTCTCGCTGGCCTGGCGGAACTTGTATGGGAAGCTCGGAGGACAGAAGGCCTAGCCGCTGGGTCCCTGAGCTGGCTGAGCGCGTTCTGCTCGGGCTAGGTAGGGGTGTCGGCCTCAGCTGTTGGGCTCTGGCTGCTGAGGGCTGCGCGTCCAGCCGCTCTGGAATCCTCATGCGGGTGGGCAGCCCGGCTCTCCTACTTCATGCTCTTGATAACCCAGAGCCTCCCCCTTCCCACTTACGCGGGGGAAGGATAATCCACTTCGTTTTGAACAGCTTCGGTCCCCACTGTGACAGTCACATAAACTTCAGCGAATAGTGCGCTCGTGAGTGGCATGGACCCTCTTACACCAATTCATTGGGTCCACCCTTCAGCTTCTGTGGAAGGGATCTTTCTCTTACCAGATGTTGAGACTTGGGGGATTGCGAGGGATGCTGGTCTTAAAAGGTGATGGCTTAGGTCGGGCGCAGTAGCTCACGCCTGTAATCCCAACACTTTGGGAGGTCGAGGCGGGCGGATCTCCTGAGCTCAGGAGTTCGAGACCACCCTGGGCAACATGGTGAAACCCCTTCTCTACTAAAATACAAAAAATTAGCTGGGCGTGGTGGCACACGCCTGTAATCCCAGCTATTCCGGAGGCTGAGGCAAGACAATCGCTTGAGCCCTAGAGGCAGAGGTTGCAGTGAGCCGAGATGGCCCACTGCACTCCAGGTTGGGCTACAGAGTGAGACTCCGTCTCAACAGCGACAACAACAACAACAACAAAGGTGGTGGCTTAATACAGCCATGCTTCCCTTAACAACTGGTATAGTTCTGAGAAATGGTTGGGCCGTTTCGTGGTTGGGTGAATATCTTAGTGTACTTATACAACAAACCTACACACCTGGGCCATGTGGGATAACCTGTTACTCCTAGACTGCAGACCTGTACAGTATGACTACTGAATACTGTGGGCAGTTCTAAAAGCATGGTAAGTGTGTATCTAAACATAGAAAAGATACTGTAAAAATATGGTATGAAAGAAAGCGTGGTAAACCTGAATAGGGCACTTAACGCATGGAGTTTGCAGGGCTGTCGGTAGCTATGAGTGAGTCAGTGAGTGGTATGTGAGTGTGAAGGCCTAGGATATTATTTAGGGTATTACAGTACACTACTGTAGACTTTATAAATGCTGTATGCTTAGTCTAAGTTTATTTAAAAATGTTTAAAGTAATAACCTTAGCTTACTGTGCTTTAACTTTATAAACTTTTAAATTAGTTTTAACTTCTTGACCCTTTTTTTTTTTTTTTTGAGACGGAGTCTATTCTCTCTGTCTCTCTTTTTTGAGACAGAGTTTTGCTCTTGTCACGCAGGCTGGAGTGCAGTGGCGGAATCTCGGCTCACTGCAACCTCCGCCTCCCGGGTTCAAGCGATTCTCCTGCCTCAGCCACCCAGGTGGCGCGCGCCTGTAGCCGGGGCTACAAGCGCGCGCCACCACACCCAGCTAATTTTTGTATTTTTAGTAGAGATGGGGTTACACCATGTGTGCCAGGATGGTCTCGATCTCCTGACCTCGTGATCCGCCCTTCTTGGCCTCCCAAAGTGCTGGGATTACAGGCGTGAGCCACTGCACCCAGCCCACTCTTTTGTAATAACACTTAGCTTAAAACGCTAATATGTTGTATAGCTATACAAAAATGTTTTCTTTGTTCCCTTACAGTATTCTATCGCTTTTTCCTGTTAAAATTTTTTTTGTTATTATAAACTGAGACACACACATTATGCCTACACCGGGTCAGGATCATCAGTATCACTCTTTTCTTCCTCCACATCTTATCCTACTGAAAGTAACATGAATGGAGCTGTCTATTCCTATGATAACTGCCTTTTTCTGGAATACTTATAATTATCTAGTATTATGTCAGTACATCATTTTAAGCGCTATGCTTGTATATGACTGGCAGCCCAGTAGGTTTGTTTACACCAGCATTACCACAGACATGAGTAATGTGTTAGACTACAAGTTATGAGGGCTACAAAGTCAATAGGAATTTTTCAGCTGCATTATAATCATCTGAGACCAGTATCATATGTGCAGTCGCTATTGACCTAAATATTATGTACTATGTGACTGTAGCTGATGAATCTTTGATTATGGCTGAATGTTCTCATTCATTGCAGGAAAAAAAATATCCTCCAAATTACTAGGATGTGAGTGACCAAAACTTTGTTCCGTTTTATGTTGGAGCCAAATAATTAGGATAAATTACTTCTTTAAAGTATGTATGTGCTCTAAAATGAAAAGTATTTCTGAACATTAAAGCATAGATATTGAGTATAAAAACAAGATACAGATTTTGGTGTGAAATGTATCTTATGATTCAAATCATAATTTAAATAGAATCGAAGATGATGTGAAATCACTGGGCTGGAAGTCGCTTATACCTTGATTAGTAAGAGAGGAAGCCTGGGATCATCCTGTGATAGTAAACACTTTTTTATGTTTTACTTATAACTCTGTCAGGAAATTTCAACAAACCTCATATAAAAGGACATGATTTCTGTATACTTAGTAATTTGCTATGCAAACTGTTGCATTGAAACGGCAGACTAAGCAAGACGATTGGGAGAAAGTAGCTGTGGGACTTGAGGAAAATAAACAGGAAAACTGCAGAATGTGGAAGGAATAATTGCATTCATTGTATTACTATCTGATTTATATTTTATGAAACAATTTGATTTCTTAATTTTTCAATTTTAAGCACAACTTTTTTAACTGGTGTGGCAGCTTTTCTGGTAAGTGGTAGATTTATATTAGAAGCATGTCTATGCAGCATATTACAGCATTAAATATGTATATAGATATCTAACTGATGTAAAAAGTGTTTTAGTAATTAAAAGTTTAACGTATGGGCATATGTGAGATATAGTGATATAGCATGTCTCTTTAGTTTTGCTGTTTTTGTTGTTGATGACTAACCACCCATGCTTGTCTTAAAAATTGATAAGGTACCTCTGATGAAATTATGACCAGGTGGGCCCGAGTTAGTACCACATGTAACAAGAGACCCTTGCCTGCAACATCATGGGAGGACATGAAGAAGGGATCCTTTGAGGGAACAAGCCAAAACCTACCAAAGCATAAACAACTTGAAGCCAATAGGCTATCCCTCAAAAATGATGCATCCCAAGCAAAACATAAAAAGAAAAAGAAAAAGGAGTACTTAAATGAAGATGTGAATGGATTCATGGAATACCTAAGACAGAATTCACAGATGGTTCACAATGGGCAAATTGTAGCAACAGACAGTGAGGAAGTAAGGGAAGAAATTGCAGTTGCTTTAAAGAAAGACAGTCGACGGGAAGGAAGAAGATTAAAAAGACAAGCGGCAAAGAAAAATGCAATGGTGAGAGCATCGCTTCTACCATGTTATTTACTTTATTTAGCTGGAAACTATTCTTATACTCACATACATATATATCTTAGCAGGGTCTGGTTACCATTATGTCCCAGATTCATAGAGCATCATTTTAAGGACTAGTACTTTTTTAGCACATATATGCTAGGCACATGATGTACTGGTTAATTATCACAACAACACAGCAAAGGTGATGGCATTATTCCCATATTATGGATGGCAAACACTGAAGTGCAGACAGATTAAATAACTTGTGAAAGCCACTTAGCTAGTAGCAGAGGTGAAATTCAAACCCAGCCTGACTTCAAAACCTATGTTATAGACCAGATGTGGTAGCCCATGCCCGTGATCCCAGCACTGTGGGAGGCTGAGGCAGGAGGATCACTTGAGCCCAGGAGTTAAAGACCAGCCAGGGCAACATAGGGAGACCCCATCTCTACCAAAAAAAAAAAAAAAAAAAAATTAGCCAGGTGTGGTGGTACACACCTGTGATCCCAGCTACTACTGCCAGCTGAAGCAGGAGGATTGAGCCTGGGAGGTGAAGGCTACAGTGAACCATGTGATCAACAGCTGCATTTCAGTCTGGGTGACAAAACGAGAGTTTGTCTTCCAAAAAACTCAAAACCTATCCTCACCTTCCAATAGCCCCTTTTTCAAATTAGCATTGAGAAAATGCCAAAATTATGAAGAAGATAAAGTACAACAGATTAAATGTGTGTGGGTCCCTATTACTTGGAAAAGATATTCTTTATCTATGAAATACTGAAGCACAGGAAAGAGGTACATAGGAGTCACACTAGTTAGAGCAGAGTAATAGCAGAATTAAGTCCTTGACACTCCCTAGTCATTGCTTCCTCCCTCCCCCATATTACATTCAGAGGAATGCTGGGGGGCAGCAGGTTTCTTTCTGTAATGCCTAGCCCTAGATTTTTAAAGTATGTCAGGCAAAGGGGATGAAATACTCACTATAATTATTTCCCTTCTCTAAGTGAGTTTCCCAAGTCTCCTAGCACGCCACTTCATAAGAATGAAGACTTGTTGCTAGTTATACTTTTATTTTTTATTAGTATTGCTATATGTAGAGCACTGTTTGCACCAATGCAGGCTTGAAATGTTAACAGCCTCTATAAATGTGTCTTTTGGCTGTTTGCAAGATTAGTCTATGCATTGTTCTATTTAAAGATAATTATTTAGAGATAATACTGATGAAACATTCCTTATGGATAAATTTGGATAGAAAGGATAACATTTCTATTGGTATCAGGATAGAGTTTTGTCTAAGTTAACTATTTTTAAATATTTTAAGTCAGTTTAGTTGACATAGGTAGTATGGTGAATTGCATACCATTTGAAAACATTTACTGTTATGATCTCTTAAGCATTATGTTTGTAATTAAGTGGGGAAGGATATTGTTTTTTAAAAAGGGGAGTGCTATATAAATAGTATATGGCTTGTTGTGACCTGTTGTTAATTTACTTCTTTGCTATTTTTTTTAATACCTTATACTAAGCATCAGTCCTTAAATGCTAATAAACTGATTATGCTATTGAAATTTACAATCAGCGCTTCACAATCCCATCTACATTAAACTTAAGGACCATTCAAAACTGTTGTAGTAAGTGATGATTAGGTTTTAAAGGAGAAGGCTGTGAACTAAGGCAGTAGTCTCAGCTTAATAGAGACCACTTTGACTTCACCAAGAAGCCAAGACTTCTATGGTGGTGATGCAGGTTTTAGCAGTAGCTTTTCCTGCATTTGTATAATAAATGCAGCTTCTTTTTTTTTTGGACCAGCTCATTCTAAATGTACAAGTTACTGAAGAATTTAAAGGGACTCATTCTTTTTCAGTATTTTATTAAGTAGGAAAAAAAGGACAGAGTTGCAAAATAAATGTTTTATTTTGCCGGTTGAATTTGCTTTTTAAAAAAACCTGTGCTTATTTTGAAAAACATAATTAAATGAATATTTATTATCCAAGAAATATATATATCTTTTTCCAGCTTAAATAAAATAGTTTAAATATCTGCCATCTTTGATTATGGTTGATGTTCTCATTTATTGCAGCAAAAAAATTCTTCAAATTTCTGTAAATAACTATTACTCAGTTTTATGTTGGAGCCAAATAATTCATCTCAGAGTAAATTATTCCTTTAAAATGTATTGTGCATATATTCTAAAAATGAAACCTATTTCTGAATATTAAAGAATGTGTATGGCCAGGCGTGGTGGCTCACACCTGTAATACCAGCACTTTTGGGAGGCTGAGGCAGGTGGATCATCAGGTCAGGAGATTGAGACCATCCTGGCCAACATGGTGAAACCCTGTCTGTACTAAGAATACTAGAATTATCTGGGCGTGGTGGCTCGTGCTTGTAATCCCAGCTACTAGGGAGGCTGAGGCAGGAGAATAATTTGAACCCAGGAGGTGGAGGTTGCAGTGAGCCAAGATCACGCCACTGCACTCCAGCCTGCTGACAGTGAGATTCCATCTTTAAAAAAAAAAAAAGTGTATTTAGGGTACAAAAACAAGGATATACTTTTTGCTATGAAATATATCTTATGGTTTGAATCGTAACTTGAAACATTTGACCCAAATTCATTCAATTATGTGAACTTAAAAAAATATATTAATTTTTTAAAAATTTTGAGTACATAATTATACACAAATACAAATTTTGAGTGATAATTTTTATAGCCACTGCCCATTTCCTATAGAAAACGCCATTTTTCTACTGCAGACATTCCAGTTATAAAATGAATAGTCCATATTTGCTCAATTCATTTAAGCAATTGCCTTCTACAAAGCCACATATATAACATTGTTCCTGAGATTGATAGATTTATCGATTGAGGTTTTCAGCAGCAATGAAACCCTCTGATGGAAAGGACATCTCATTGTTTAGGAATGTATGAAACCTTTTTTCTACAAATAAAATATTGAGATTTCAGAAAAAGAGCTAAATAAGATGAGAACTGTTTTAAATATGTTTTTGATAACAAGAATTAATAAAGTCACTGGTATAGTTTTGCAGTGTGCCAACCCACATTTTGTTTTCCCAGGTGTGTTTCCATTGTAGAAAACCTGGTCATGGAATTGCAGATTGCCCTGCCGCCCTTGAAAATCAAGACATGGGCACTGGGATATGTTACAGGTGTGGGTCCACAGAGCACGAAATAACCAAGTGTAAGGCTAAAGTAGACCCAGCTCTTGGTATGTGTTTCTTTCAGTTTTTTGCTTTGTTCATGGGGAAAGCCAATAAATAGCACCCTGGGTATATTTTTAACACAATTTGTTAAGAGTGTGCCACTTAGTATTTGGAAATCATATGAGATTAAATTTTAAGTTATGTAAAAATATTTTTTATTCAGTGTTAATGTGAATTTTATGACTTGCCATATGCATTGTCAACTGAATAGGAACTGTTGATTTTTACAGGCGAATTTCCTTTTGCAAAATGTTTTGTTTGTGGAGAAATGGGGCACCTGTCTAGATCTTGTCCGGATAATCCCAAAGGCCTCTATGCTGATGGTAAGTACTGTTACCCTCATATAGCAGAAATGGTGAGTTATCATGCAGTTGTGATTTAGTTTACACTCAATCAGTTCTTGAATGAATTCTTGAATACATTGCAAAACCTTGAGAATTACATTATTTTTATCAAGTGCTATTATATGTACTGGGCTTTTTGTGCAGTTTGACTTCATATGTTAATAAAACAAATCAGAAAAAACTAAGGTGTGTATTTCCAACTGTGCTTGCTTCATCATTTGTGAGACTATTATACATTTCTACTTTTAGACATAACAGAAGCAGAGGGATTATATATATCTCAAGCTAATATGAGGTTTTTAAAATCGTATTATATATTCAGCCTCAGCCAGCATACCATTTTGGTGGAAGGGTGGGTACACATGATTCAATACTGTAGTAATGTTTGCTTCTGAATTTTTTTTCTTAGTTATTTGTCTGGCATGGGATTATGTAGCTTTTTTCTCTTTAACTTGGGTAATTAAGGTTCACACAGTAAAGTCTATGTGGTCTAAAGCTTTAAGGAGGAGGCTGTTATCTGTTGATGTGATGGCTGGTGCCATCAGGCTCTAGACATTTCTTGTGTCGTGTCCTGGGTGTCCCCCTGGAGAAGTCCAGTGAAAAGCATAGCTTTTGGAGTTGGTCAGACTTGGGTTATAGTGCCAGCACTGCCACTCACTAGCTCGGGGGCTTTGGCCGACTTACCATACTCGATCTCAGTTTCCTCAGCTATAGAATGGAGCTGATAAAACTATATTTTATTGATTCTAAGATGCACAGTTTTTCAATTTTAATCTCTTGGAAATCAGAATGTATCTTACCATTGGTGGGTCCCACATAATTGACAGCTGTTTTTCTTTCTGAGAGGTATGTGCAATAATGATACATCTTATAATCAATGGTGTCTTAGAGTTGATGAATTATGGTATTTGCCTAAAGAGTTTTTAAAAAGATTAAAGTGTATTATTCAAGTGCTTCTTTTTCACTATGGCATATAAAGAGGCCAGGGCCTGAAAAATGCTCAGGTGCATTTCAGTTTTGAGCTTATAAAAATGGGTAGTTAACATGACGAGTGAGCAAAAATGGCTTTCACTGGTCTACCAAAGTGACTAGATGTAAAAAAAAAAATAATAATAATTAATGCAGCAAGGAGAGTAGATCCCATAGATGTGAAAATATGGCCAGATTAGCCTGTGTGTACTTTGATTTTATAACTTGTAATCTTTTGTTTACAATAAGGGGCTTTCTGTGACTTGTTTTAATTTAGAACACTTTGGTAGCAATAGACACATTGGATACATTTTTGTATGGTACATTTGATGTGTATAGAATTAGTACTTTGTTTTTAAGAGGTAAAGCATTATGTTGGGGGAAAAGTAGGGTGGGTTTCCAAATTTGCATTTTTTATATTGAAAATAAAGTCAAGATTTGGGGAAAAAAGAAAATTCAGCCAGATATGTATCTTTGTATCTGATTAGGTCATTTTTCTAAGTCACTTAACATTTCGAGCATGATCAAGATAATGCTTGACCATTAAGCAACAGTGTTTGATCATTAAGTGAAAGACTTATTTTAGAAAGCACGTGTGTTGTGATTCACAATTCTGAAATGTTTAAAGTAGGCAGATAGGCATTTTTATAGGGTTAGGGTGCCTGGCCAATGGAAGGCACTGAAACAAAAATTAACTTTATTTCTTTTGTAAATGCTTACCCCCATCTGATCTGTACAGTAGAATAGTAGTTTCTCATCTGTTTTGGGGCCATTGACAGAGAATCTGACATGCTATTCAGGAAAGAGCATCTGCTTACAACTTTTATTTACAGGTCCAAGGGTTCACAGACTCTTGACTGTCTAAGCATTAAGATCCAGGCTTCTGTGCAATAGCTCTTAAACAAGTGCCTTCCATCATAACTCATTTCTCTTTCCTATTTCTCAAGGCCAGGTGCAAGAAGCAGTGGGTGGGTACAATTTACTGCCCTGTGAGGTTAAAAGGAATGGAGAATGAATTTGTAATAGGAATAGTGGCACCTCCCTATGTTCCTGGTCTAGCTACCTTTACAACTGACAAGGTTGTGAGGATCCAGTAAGATGTGAAAGTGCTTTGAGATGTTAAAAACCCCATGTAAGTATGAGATGGTATTCAGTGGCTTTGCTCTTTCAATAGGTGGCGGCTGCAAACTTTGTGGCTCTGTGGAACATTTAAAGAAAGATTGCCCTGAAAGTCAGAATTCAGGTGAGATCTCTGGGCCTCTACTTAGAAGGGGTGAGATTAATATTTCTCTGCGTTTTATTCTGCACTTATTATGAATAACTCATTGGGATGCTAATGATTTTAAGACCTGTTTTCCTACTGTAGCAATCACTTAATCTCTGTCAGCAACAGACACACATCGTACTGAGTAACTGAATAGGTGGGGAAAAAAGTGGCCAGTAAGCCTTAGGGGACCCTGACTTTATAAGATATCTTATTCATAAGCATTTATATTTGCTAACTAATGAATTTAATATAATAGAGCCAATTCTGTTACTTAAGAAAAATATGAATTCACTAAGAGAAAATAAAAAATATGAAATAACTTTCCATAGTCTTAATATTGAGTGTCCTCATGTATGCTTTGCTTTGTATGTACCTAAAAGATTCAGAGTTGACTGCAGAAACTACCAAAAATATTAAAAATGTGTTATCCACACAGAATCTGGCTATTTTCTTCCTGATGAAATACCAGCCTTATTCATCAAAAACTTCAGAGATGTTCACTATACCTATGGCAGACTTTTGAGGAAGTGGAGATCATTATTACATTAGTTTGCCTGGACTAGAATGATGATAATCCTGTGTGAAGGCAGGCAAGAAGACAGTAGGATAGCCCAGCAGTACTTCTTATGGAAAGAGCACATTTCTTTTTATTTCACATAGTCACAACACTACACAAATAAGTCTGCTCATTCTTACTTCCTATCCCTAACATTTAAATTTGAAAACCAAGAGTTCTTGTTTACAAGCTTGTCTAGAAGATAGTCTTTAGTACATTGTAGGCAGTGAGATTGAAATGATGAAGTGGAATTTGAATTCTCCCTCCTGGGAGGATTGCCACTTCCCAAATGACAAGACTGACAAGCAGATGTTGTATAATTTCACAGGTAGAATCTTATGCATTTAAAACTGATGCTTCATAAGCCTTGCTGTTTACAGACTCTTGGAATTCATTGACTCTGTAATGATGAACTCTGGGAAAGAATGAAAGAGCTTTCTCATCAATTCGTGCATTGCAAAGTAGTTGCTACATTTCCCTAATTGGGATGAGAAATTGCCTGTGGTACTCTGAAATCAAGGGTTATAATCAATTACAGAATTGCTCACTTTCCTTTAGTGATGGAGTCTTCCCTCCTTGTGATTATTCATGTCAAAATGAGTTCCTTTCCAAAACCAGTAACAATTTGAGTGGATGCATTTGATTACTGTTTTTCTCATATTCTGATTTTTCTATTCCTTTACAGAGCGAATGGTCACAGTTGGTCGCTGGGCAAAGGGAATGAGTGCAGACTATGAAGAAATTTTGGATGCACCTAAACCACAAAAACCCAAAACAAAAATACCTAAAGTTGTTAATTTTTGATAACAACTAGCATTATCATTAGTTACCACCTCATCGTTACTTTCTAAACCAGGCCCACTTCACGAGTTAGAGTTGAGCTCCCTTGTAGCCAGGACTATACTGTAGATATCACTATGATCTGGGTGAGGTCGAAAACAATTTTGTTTATTCTGTCCATCAAATTGTACTTCTACTACTGTTTGGAGAAAATTGAAGAAAAGAATAAGATGATTAAATGGATTATCTAAAAGAACATATTTTAAGAGACAGAACTTAGACATAACCAAGTAGTTGTATACCTGATTGTAACAATCATCTTTTATAAAAGCAAAATTATGCATAAATGTAAAACACTCCTAAACAAAGGGTACAAATGAATTTTTGGTTATATCATTTTCTTGGCTCAAAGTATCAATTTATTATTATAATAGAAATTTATAAGTTGCTAGAAAGTCTCTGTTTTTAAAATATGGAATAAAAATGCATTTTCTATTGCTTGTTTTTCTGAATACTTGATTCTTGATTGAAATAGCCATTGTTCGTTAATATCCATGTAACAATCCCTTTGGAAACAAGATTTTTTATGAATCCTAGATGAGAATAAACAGGGATTTGGTTTTTGTTTTAGTTTTGACATAAAGGATTACAAGTCACTAAAGTTAAAATTGAAATACGTCAATTTAACAGCAGGTCTTTTTTGCCCTTGATTTTCAAGAGAAATTCTAGCCAAAAATCAGTTTTCGTTACTTAACCAGAATGACGGCACATAACAGATTGTATAATAAACTTAATAGCATTTTGTTCACATGTTTTAGATGAGTCAGAGTGAGAGGGAAATATCACCATAATAGAGTTAGAACACTAATCAGAGACCGATTAGCTTCTTTGTTTGATTTGATGAATTCATGCATACTTAATACATATATTTCACAAGGCTTAACACTACCATTGTACTGTATAATGGAATGACTCTAGTGGTTTTGTGTTTCATTTCAAATTTTACCTGATTGAATCCATTTGTAACTAAAGGAAACAGCTGTGATTAGTTACTGATGCCTCAAAAGCAAAATATTTACCAAATAAGAAAAGAAACACTTTTCTCTGTTTTCATATCTGCACAACTCTACAGTTCTAGTCTTAATAGGAGCTGTTCTTTTATTTCAGTGTGAGAGGAAAACATGATGACAGAATACTGCTCAGCATCCCAGAGCTTAAGGAAATGAGTGCCATTTAGAAGGAATTGCACAAGCCATGCAGCTGGAAAAGGACAGTAATGCTGCCTTAGTCATCTCGTCTGAACACACCCAGATTTATTTCACCTGTCCCATCAGGAGCAGAAGGCTTTGTAGAGTCTGCAGCCTGTCAGCTGAAAGTTAGGTCTAATGCTTTTTGTAGTCTTCAGTGCAAAGATGTTGGTATCCATTTTGTCTTTCTTGGATTACTTTGTGTGTGTATAATTTTTTTTTTTTTTTTGAGATGGAGTCTCGCTTGTCACCTAGGCTAGAGTGCAGTGGTACGATCTTGGTTCACTGCAACCTCCGCCTCCTGGGTTCAAGCGATTCTCCTGCCTCAGCCTACTGAGTAGCTGGGATTACAGGCATGCACCACCACGCTGGGCTAATTTTTAGTACATATGGGGTTTCACCATGTTGGCCAGGCTGGTCTGAAACTCTTGACCTCATGATCTGCTTGCCTCGGCCTCCCAAAGTGCTGGGATTACAGGCATGAGCCACTGTGCCCAGCCTACTTTGCTTATATTTTAATGATCTATAAATATTAGGCAGTGAAGTCATTAGAAATAAATTGCAGGTACTGAATGCAGCATTAAACACGTGTACAGACACTGAAAGGAATGCACCAGAGGTAGATATTCTGAGAGATGCTGAGTGTTTCTTAAAAGGAACTATAGACGTTGGTTATTTTCTTAGCTAAAAATGCCTAAAGAGGAAGGCAAACAATGTATTCATTCATCTTGTATGTTTCCCAAGCACTACTATGTTCCTGTTACTCTTATGCACTTGAAATTGTGGCAGTCAACAAGACAGACAAGGCCACATGCATTATAATGGGGCTGAATAATAGACAGGAGACTTAGGAAAAATACCAGCAAGAAATGTTTGATTACAATCCTAAAATATTTTTTGAATCCCCTAAGACTTTAAAAAATTTTTCAGATGGGGTCTTACCCTGTCACCCAGGCTGGAGTGCAGTGATGCAATCATAGCTCACTGAAGCCTCAAACACCTGGGCTCCAGCGATCCTCCCATCTCAGCCTCCTGAGTTGCTGGGATTACAATAGGCATGAGCCACTACACCCAGCTGAATCCCTTAGTCTTTAGCACTCCTTCAGTCTTTTGTAAATTTCATCTCGTCTTACAAACTGATCTTTCATTTTTACATAAATGACTCCTAAATCTCCAGCTAGCCCTAAAATCCCAGGTTTCAGTCCTGTCTTTCCACCTGCCTGCTGGATGTTCCTACTGGGATGCTCCACTGATACCTCAAATTCAATATGGCTTTAAACAGTCTCACTTTCCCCTGGGGAAAAAAAAATGAGTTTACCTTTTTGTCTCTTTTTTCACTACAATTACATTCCAAGCCATGAGGCCTGAATCTCAGGTTGCTCTTTCCTTGACATTTCCTCCAGTCCCCATAGAGACACCCCCTTATTTCCTCCAGGCATCTGCTATGACCAGCTTGAGTCTTTCTACGACCATCCTTATAGGAAGGAGCACCTCCTTCCTTCCTCATCCCAATACCTAACACTATAGCTTTATTTGTTCCCTCTCTACCAGATTATAGGTTACATAAGGGCAGGAATTTTGATTCTTGTTCATTGCTATATCCCTAGAAATGCTTAGAATGTGGCAAGCATTTGCATTTGTTGAATGAGTTAATTCAATGAGTAAGTGATATAAAAGAAATCAACAGAGAGATGATGCAAGTGACTGGGTAGCTACCTTAGATTCGATAATCAAGGGAAGGCCTCTGTGGACCTTTTAAAGCTGAAATCTGAATGACACAAAGGAACCAGTCATGAGTTAGCCAAAACCCCTAAAGAGAGAATGAGTTTGCCATATTTGAGGGACAGAAAGGAGTGTAGCTGAAGCCTAGAGAAGGGCTGCATCAGGGCTATTCTGACCACCCTATTTAAAATAGAATCTGTATCTCATCCTAACACTGGCACTCCTGATTCCCCTTACTTTGCTTTGTGTTTTTCTGTGTCCCTTATCACCTTCTACCATATTAACTTATTTATTATATGTGTCATTTATGTCCCATCTGTCTGCTAGAAAATAATCTCCATGGGGGGGGGGGATTCTTGTCTGTTCACTGACATACCCCAAATGCCTAAAAAGCACTTAGCACATAGTAGACTCATAATATGTATTTAACAATACATTTGACGAGGTCAGAGAGGAGGTGGGGGCAAGATCACATTGGAAAATTTAGGAAGCCATTGGAAAGTTTTGGTTTTCTTCCCCTAACAGCTTTATTGAGATATAATTCACATAGGATAAAATTCACACTTCTAAAGTGTACAACTGACTTTTAATCTAGTCAGAGTTATACAACCATCACCATTAATTCCAGTACATTTTATCACTCCATCGACACCCAATACCCATAAGCAGTCGCTCCCTATCCCTTCCTTCCCCCAGCTACTGGCATCTACTGATTTACTTTCTGTCTCTGTAGAGTTGCCTGTTCTGGACACTTTATGTAAATGGAATCACACAATATGTGGTTGTGATTGACTTCCTTTAGTTAACATGATGTTTTCAAGATTCATCCATAATAATCCATTGTCTAGATATTCCACATTTTATTCATCAGTTGACGGGCATTTGAGTGTTTTCCACTTTTTGGTGGTTATTAACAATGCTACTGTAAACATTTGTGTATAATCTTGTGAGGACATGTTTTCATTTCTCTTGGATATATACCTAGGAGTATATATCTAGACTATTTTTCGAAGTGACTATACCATTCGATAATCCAACCAGCAATGTATGAGAGTTTCAATTCTCCACATCCTTGGCAACATTTGATTTTGTTTCTCCTTTTTATTTTCCTCATCCCAGTGAGTGTAAAGTGGAGTCTCATTGTGGTTTTGATTTGCATCCCCTAATGATTAATGATGTAGAACGCCTTTTCATGTGCTTATTGGCCATTTGTTATGTGATCTCTGCAGAAATGTCCATTCAAATACTTTTCCTGTATTTTTTAATTGGGTTGTTATTTATTGCAGAGTTGAAAGGGCTTTATTTATTCTGTATACAAATTCCTTATCAGGTTTATGATTTGCAAATGTTTTCTCTCATTCTGTGGTTTGTCATTTTACTTTCTTGATGGTGTCCTTTGAGACACAAAAATTTTTAATTTTGATGGAGTTCATCTTATCTGATTTTTCTTTTCATCCTTGTGTTTTTGGTGTTATCTTTGATGTCACATCTAGGAAACCACTGCCTAACCCAAGTGTATCAGTCCGTTCCCACACTGCTATAAAGAACTACCCGAGGCTGGGTAATTTATAAAGAAAAGAGGGTTAGGCCAGGTGCAGTGGCTCACGCCTATAATCCCAGCACTTTGGGAGGCTAAGGTGGGCAGATAACCTGATGTCAGGAGTTCAAGACCAGCCTCGCCAACATGGTGAAACCCCAACTCTACTAAAAATACAAAAATTAGCCAGGCACAGTGGTGGGCACATGTAATCCCAGCTACTTAGGAGGCTGAGGTAGGAGAATCACTGGAACCCAGGAAGCAGAGGCTGCAGTGAGCCAAGATTGTGCCACTGCACACCAGCCTGGGCAAGAAAGCGAGACTCCATCTCAAAAAAAACAAAAGAGGTTTAATTGACTCACAGTTCCACAGGCTGTACAGGAAACATGGCTGAGAGGCCTCAGGAAACTTACAATCATGGCAGAAGGTGAATGGGAAGCAGGCATAATCTTTACATGGTGGAGCAGGAGAGACAGAGCGAAGGGGGAGGTGCTATATACTTTCAAACAACCAGATTTTATGAGAACTCTGTCATGAGAACAGCAAGGGGGAAGTCTGCCCCGACGATTCAATCACCTCCCATCAGGCCCTTCCTTCAACACTAGGAAGCACAATTTGACATGAGAGAGGTGGGGACATAGAGGCAAACCGTATCACCAAGGTCTGGTTTTCTTCTGAGTTTTATATTTTTAGTTCTTATACTTAGGTTCACTTTTTTTAAATTTCTTTTGAAACAGAGTCTGTAGCCCAGGCTGGAGTGCAGTGGTGCAACCTTGGCTCACTGCAACCTCCATCTCCCAGGTTCAAGCCATTCTCCCACCACCTCAGCCTCCCAAGTAGCTGGGACTACAGGCATGCTGCACCACACCTGGCTAACTTTTGTATTTTTAGTAGAGACAGGGTTTCACCATGTTGGCCAGGCTAGTCTAGAACTCCTGACCTCAGGTGATCTGCCCGCCTCAGCCTCCCAAAGTGCTGGGATTACAGGTGT